ATCAATCTCTTCTTGAACTTTCTCTGTTGTGAGAAGCACAGCCAATACGATGAGCAAATAAGGCAAACCCCACCCAAGCAGGTTGTCCTAAGCAGTCCTCAAATCCTGTGGGTTCAGTAGCAAATTAGTGATGTTGGGAACATTTATGTTGATTTAGGTGTTGTCTGGAATGCATCTTCTCTGCAGCCTATTCCAAGAATGCCTTATAACAACTTAGTTACACTGGAGTACCGAGAGATAAAGATGTGGACATAGTCAAGGCCCTGCTGGTGCATTTGCTGCTCTTGCTAGTGAAGCCAGGAGATCTCTACCAGCCACCCTAGGGTATGACAATGCAAGGACTTTGGCCGTGTATGTAGAATATGAGAGAATAAGTTTGGGAGAGGGAAATACTCTGAGATATCTGTCAGACTCTGGGGAATAGTAGAGGGAAAAAATACTGTAGACCAGTACCTTGTATCTTTGGATATTTGAGAAGAAGCAGAAGCCCATATCGTATAGTGGTGCTTGTTGTCTCTGTTCCAGCAAGGAACAAGTCGAACGTCGAGGTTATCAGGTTTGTGATGTGGAAGTGTGATTTGGGATTGTCTTTTTCCTAGAGAAAAAACTGTGCTGTTTCTTAGGTTGAACCTGAGCAGTGTGGCCCTTCCAGAGCCGTTGCATTTTTCCACTAAGGTGCAGCAGCCATTTGGGACCTTGCAGTGCTATTAAAGATCTGCAAGCCAGACCCAATAGCAGGCATCTTTCCAGCTGAGTGCTGTACGGTACACAGCTGCCTACTTGCCCTTCTTATGCCACTTGCTTTCCAGTACAAGAGCTGGAAGATCTGATTGTGAGTGCCCCTGGGTAGTAGCTGGTGAGTTTACAGGCCACCAGCTATGAGTGGCCTGCAGACCTGTTGCAGTGGTTGAGAATCGGGAAGGGTAAGTGCAATGTCACTGTTGGTTATGAGAAGGAAAGTGATTCAGCACAGGTGTGTTTGAGAATGAGCTGAGGCTGCGTGCTCTCTCCTTACCTCCTGCATTTTGCTGAGGAAGCAGTCGATGAAATCCTGAGGGGCACTGGGATCCAGGGAGGCTTGATGCAGCTTCACCTCCTCTGCAACAAATGCTTTTATGGCATCAGTTTCTATGAATATCTTATTGTGTGGGCCCGGCAAATAATCCAGGATGTAGGAGAACATCTGGTACAACTGGAAGGAAAGAAACAGGAAGGTCCCTGGTGTGACCATTGCCCTAGTCTTTGTGATTAGCCAAAAACAGGCTGGCTCAACTCCCTCAGCTGAGACAAGTAGAAGGGCTATGGAGCTGTGCACAGTTTCAACAGAGCAACTGTGACCTGCTTGGTCACAGTATGAATTCATAGTGTTATTGAATGGTTTGGGATGCAAGGGGCCTTCAAGATCATCTAGTTCCAACCCCACTGCGGTGGGGTGGAAAAGGTGCTTCTTGTTTTGAAGGTATTCCCTTTTCTGCAGCAGAGTGTTGATGGGTCCTACTGTGAAGGATGAGATGAGACTTTCCTGTGAGGAAGGCCTCCTGCTCCTCTGGCAAAATGTCCCCACTATGAAATATCTGCTGAATGTACCTGTCCCCAGCGGGAGTTGCTCAGTTCAAATATGTGGTTCATGTGGCTCATCAGGGACAGGAACTTTTTGTCTTTATAGTCATATCGTTTCCCAAAGACAATGGAACATATGACATTGGAGACAGCGCAGCTCAGCTTGAACGTTGGGTCGAAGGGCATTCCTGTGAGTTCAGAAAAGTTACAATCTATGAATAAGTAATGAAATAATTAAATAAAACCTACGGCCACTGTGGGTAACATGAGCTGCAGTGAACAGTGGAATTTCACAGTCTCTGAATGAAGCAGAGTGGTTCTCCAAA